ATTATTCATAAGACCAAGCAACTAACCTTAGGACAGACACAGTCTCTCTGCCTGCCTTACTTCGCAGGGTTGTCAGGGGAGGAGAGCCATGTATACGACCTTGAAATCATTGGAGAAATGGTGGAATTATAAATGCAACAAACAAACAAACAAAGCTAACGAAAAAGCTAAAAATTCATGTTTTAGATCAGTGGTTCTTAACCTTGAGTTACTCAGGTGTTTTTGGACTGCAACTCCCAGAAGCCTTCACCACCAGCTGTGCTGGCTGGGGTTTCTGGGAGTTGCAGTTCAGAAACACCTGAGTAACCCAAGGTTAAGAACCACTGCTTTAGATACTATGAATAGGCTTGCTGGCTGCCTCTATAATTTCTGTAGTACCTGATGTGTTTGACTGTACTCTTCTCTCATTGCAGTTAGCATATTGTGTTGTGCAGTTCTTGGAGAAAGACAGCAGTCTGACTGAACCGGTAAGTTTTCTTTTATTATTTTTTTTTTTGGTCATTGTGTAAGGCGGTATTATGATCCACTCTGTTTGAGGCAGTGGTTGGTATGGAGCACTGCTGCTGTCAAGAGCTGGTCATTCAGAACATCCCATATTGATAATGAACTCAGAGCAAAGATCTATATTTATTTATTTGAAATATCTAAAGCTCACTCTATATCACAAGCTCTCAGGTCTGGTTACAGAGCTGTATATAATGGTTTTAAAAGGTAGGATATTTAAATCTATTTAAAATTAAACAGTTTAAAACACAAAATTAAAGCAGTCAGGTGTTAAAACATAAAAACTGGTGCAGTTCACAACCCTTAATCCTCAAAGGCTCTAATAAATAAGTATGTTTTGACTTGGCACTAACATGATGCCAATATCAGCACCAGTTGAGGCTCCGAGGGGAGGGCATTCCACAATTTGGGTACTACAGTGGAAAAAGGGCTCTCCCAAGTTTCCACCTGGTGAATTGTTTTTCCATGGTGGGACACAGATAAGAGCCTCCGGAGCAGATCTTGGTGACTCGGCTTCACCCACAAGAAACCCAGCTTTAGCGAACTTGTCAGCTTTGTAGAACTATTTAAAAATATATATTTAAAAAATTGCAAGGAAAAGAATGGAAAAGTGGAAACCCAAAACAGCCCAGTGAACTTTGTGGATATGAAATGCTTGCTGTTTGCAAGGAGACCACCTATATTTACCTGATACTGCTCCATTGTGAGTGGCTGTCTTTGTCAGAGCCTGGAAAGGGGCTGCTCCCAGATTCCCCTAGCCAACCTGGCCGCAGAGTGGAAAAACAAACAAACAAACAAAAAGGAACCTCCCCATGTAGTAGTTTGTTTCCAGGTCCTAATCAAAGTACCAGTGATGATCTTTTAAAGCCTGGAATGGCTTTTTGGACTACATTTCCCAGTATTCCTCAAGCATCATGGCTAATAGCCCTTTAGAGCACACTTTTTGGGTGCACTTGAGGAGGAGGGATGCTTTAGAAAAGGGGTGGTGGTCTTCATCCGAGTCTGTGATGAAAGCAATTCTGTCTTCAGATGTCTTTGACAGATCCTGGCCTTGAGCATATTGTTCACATTCATGTCTTCAAAATCCAATAGGTCAAAGTGTTGTTTTCTTTGTGTGAAAGTGTAGCAGCTTAGGAGAAAAAGTAACTTCATTTAATGCTGTAGAACAGTATAAAAAGACAAGCAGATTGCCATTGGATTACTGAGTTTATCTGTTCTTTAAGTTTTATGGAACTTAAATTTAGAATAACTTGGTAGTATTAGTAATATATCTGGGAATCAGTTATTGGAAGTGTGTGGATAAAGTTTGCCTCATTGAAAGTTATGTCAAAGATCTGACAGGCCTTGCTTTATTAAATTTGTTCCACAAAAGTGAACCGTTCTCCAATACCATTAATGTCGAGATCAGACTAAAAAGGTAAGGGCAAATTCTCCTTCAAAGCATCAAGAAAGTACAAGATAAACATAGATGAAAATAGTGAAGGTGTAAGCCATTTGGCCAGTGTGATGTAGGGCAGTGGTCCCCAACCTTGGGACCTCCAGATGTTCTTGGACTTCATCTCCCAGAAATCCTGGTCAGCAGAGGTGGTGGTGGAGGTTTCTGGGAGTTGTAGTCCAAGAACATCTGGGGGCCCAAGGTTGGGGACCACTGATGTAGGGGATAGAGTGATGGACTAAGATTCAGGAGACCTGAGTTCAAAGCCCTGATCAGATTTGAAATTTCATGGGGAGAGGGTAGAATTAGTAAAATTACTCCTCAGTTCCCTTAAAAGCTCTATTAGGGTTGCTGTATTGTTTCTCATTTGAGAGGACAACACGGGGGGTGGGGGGGGAGAGGCAAAGAGCCCGTGTGCGGGGTATTTGGATGAATGATTATCTGTCTTCTAAGGGGGGGGGGGAGAGGCAAAGAGCCCGTGTGCAGGGTATTCAGATGAATGATTATCTGTCTTCTTACATACTTATTATTTAATCAATTTGTGAAATCTGTATACAATTCAGAAATTTAATACTACGCTATTTGAGAAGTCCAAGGAAACTATGAGACCACACAATGCAGTGGGCAAAAGTTCACTGGCCAGAATTCTGTTGCATGGCTCTGCCAATGTGATGTAGCTAGCAGATTGCCACCAATTAACGAGCTCTTGCTTTGATTTCAGATTGCAAACAACCTTGTCTCATTGCACATGAGTTGTGTGCAACATGAAATGAGGAACTCTTTAATTAGGACCAGCTGTCTGGATAGCTCAATGAGTTAGGTATCTGGCTGCAGAGCCAGAGGTTGGGAGTTTGATTCCCCACTGTGCCTCCTGGGAGAAGAGTCAGCTTGTGTAGCCTTGGACATCCTGCATAGTCCCAGGATGCCCCCCAGAAGAAGGGAATGGGAAACCACTTCTGAGTATTCCTTACCCAGAAACCCTAGAAATACTTCTGAGTATTCTCTACCTAGAAAACCCTGGAAAGGGTAACCACAAGTTGGAGTCAACTTGAACAGCGTGCAGTTATTAATATTAATTAGGAACAATTTTCCAGTTCTGCTGCACTGTTAGGGTGCAGCTATGTAATAAAGTATTAACTATTGTTACAAAGACTTTAATGTCTTCCTATTTGCTAAGACAGAAAAACCCAACACAGTTATATGCTCTGAATTCTCAAGCTTGTTTTTCAGATTTATATTTGTTGAATAAGAGTGCCCTGCACTGCTTGATAAACTAAAGCCATAGTTGGTTAATCTTCTGCTTAAACAAACTAAAGCTTGCAATGCTAAATAACATAAAGCAGCTTATGATTCTTGCTGTCTCTGTGAAACCATGACATGTCATTTTGAGATCCTCCATTCATTATTCTGACATGCTTGCTTTAAATTCATTGTTGGAAGTCCAATAGTAAGTTGCAACTAGACAAGGCCCATTGAAAGCTTGCTTTAAATTCATTGTTGGAAGTCCAGTAGTAAGTTGCAGCTAGACAAGGCCCATTGAATCAGTGGGGATCTTCCATAAGCTCCATTGATTCAATGGGCCTCTCGTGACTTACTGCTAGATTACAGCTGTTGTAGTAAATTCCACAGTAAATCTCTATAGTGTTTTTGTTAAATGGTTTTTGACTCGTTGCTCTAATTTTCTGCTAAATTTTGGCAGTGTGTTTTTCAAAGATGCTTTTAGGAAGGCATGGAAAGGTTTCATGGGGACCACAGAAGTGGGCCACATGATTCCCGTCCTTGCTGTATGATAATGCCATTATTGTATATTACTTGGAAGTTATGGTGAAAAGGCACAGGAAGCATTCAGATGCTACAATTAGACCACATTTTGGAATTTATTTATTTGTTTAAAGTCTAAGCATTATGCTCTTCTTTCACATGCTTCTCCTTGAATGCATCAAGTAGTAAAATCCTATGCTGGTTAGTGACAAGCTGTAGTTTGCTACTTGATTGTCATAATAAGTACAGTATAGGGTTGCAAGCAATCACAAATTGAAGTTCACCTATTTGGATGAACTGATTAATGTGTTTTGATTACAAACTAATATATAAAATTACTAATCCATGAGCATAAGGGCAAGAAGGAGTGAGCACACACACATGTGCCTGTTCATTCTTGTACCAACAAACAATGGTTTGATGTTACATCTAAATTCACAAATATAATATCGCTAAGCGAGGCACCACTGTACCAACAAACAGTGGTTTGATGTTACATTGAAATTCACGAATATAATAAGAGCCATCATAATTTTCATCTAAAAACCTGTAGTTGTGCAAGTTAACAGTATATTTTATGCCCCCCCCATTAAGTACATTTTTAAACATTGTAAAGAAGGGCAATTGGAAACATAAACCAACCAGTTACATTAACATCTTGTTTGTTGCAGTGTATGAAAACAAGCATCTCTGCTTAAAATTTTCAGTGTTTCCATGAATTCATTAGAAAGTCTGAAGCAAGCTGCACCATTTGTGTCTCAATTCCCTACATACAAATGAGGGGATTAGACTGCAGGAATTAGACTGCAACTTTATACTGTTTTTGCAAGGTTATGGTAATAATGAAAATGTTAAACATAGAGTATAATAACTATTATTGGTGTTTCCTGGTAGTATTGAAACGAGAGTTCTAAGACCCTCTTGGTTGAAATTAGATTAGGAGGTAGAGATACATGAAATAAGGCAACACTGAAATGCATGTCCCATTAAGAAGTGGGATTATATGTAGGCTATATAACCAGTGCGAGTGCTTGCCTATTTCTTTCTTCTACACCACAGTGTAGTATAGTGGATAGATAGGCTATGACTCAGGAAACCTAAGTTCAATTTCTTGCCAAGTCATGGAAATGCCTGTTGTGGAACTGATAAGCAGACTCCTGAAATATCTCATTTACCTTGAAATCCCTTTTAGGGTTGCAAGAAGTTAGTTCTGACTTGTAAAATAACATTCTTCGTCTTTTAGGTAATTATGGGCTTGCTGAAATTTTGGCCCAAAACGCACAGTCCTAAGGAGGTTATGTTTCTGAATGAGTTGGAAGAAATATTGGATGTCATTGAGCCTTCTGAGTTTGTGAAGGTTATGGAACCTCTGTTCCGGCAGCTGGCCAAGTGTGTCTCCAGCCCACATTTCCAAGTAGGTTCACAGTTCATAAAGGTGGCAGCAGTTTTTGTTCATATGTGGAGGGTATTTTTTGTGATTCCTAAGTGTTTTAGCGGTTAGCCCATAAAACGGGCAGTTCTGCAACAGAAAGTGATAGTTTACACAAAGTTCACTTTGCTGACCGACAGGAGTTCAAATGTAACAGTCTAGGTTCAGTAAACTAGGAAAGAGTGGTGTGTGATTCATCCCCACTTCTCTCATGTGCAAGCTGTTGTTTGATAACCTGGTTTGTCTTCAAAGATTAAACAACAGTTGGATGTGATTACAGTGACTGAACAGATCTCACAAGTTTTGTGTTACAAGAAAAAAGAAGACGAAAGGAGAGGAGTATGAGTAACTAGTTAATGAGATTTTACTTGTTTTCTTGATTAATAGGAAGTTTAATTTCTGAATTAAGATGTTTAAGGCAAGATAAGGTTTCAAGGAAGCATTGCTGGGAAAGCTACAAGGCTGAAATGGCTGTTAAGTCTATAAGCAGGGATGTGCCATTTGAATTTTTGGAACTATAAATTCCATACTGCTGCATTCTCAGAGTTCCACCTAATAGGCAGACACATAGAAACATCAAAATGTTTGGCTCACCTTGGAGAAAGGCCTAAGTGGAAAGGCTTCGTGTCTTAGGTAGGCCTAGCTTCACCCAAGGTTCCTGTTTAGAAAGGAAACTAGTCCAGTGCTAGCTGGAAGCTTCCTTCTTAATAGCTAGGCCACAGAGCCACCCAGTCGAGGCCTTTCTGTCAGGTGAGCTATATTTAGGTGTCTATGTGTCTGTCTGTCAGGTAGAACTCCCAGAATGTAGAAATAAGTGATATATAGTAAAAAAAACCTAAATGGCACTTTTCTGTCTTACTTCATGAGCTACATGCAGTTTTGCCTCTTCCTTGCTTCTAGATTTGAGATATATTAGAGGAGGATGAGGAAGAGAAGGAACATCTTGGACTGCTTCATATCTTTCTTGGCATGTCCAGATGGATATCTGTTTTAAGGGAAATACTTATTTTTTATGAAGAGCTGTGCAAGTTTTTTTTTTGTCCCACCACCACAGACAACTCTGGTGAGCTGCTTCGATGTGTTTAAAAATGTATGTGTGGTTTGTTTGGGTTGAACAAAAAGTCAAACTTTTAGCGTAAGTTTTTAAAATTCTTCGATTAGGTGTTGGGGTGAAGAATCTGCAACCCTCCAGACATTGTATGCTGAATTTCAGCACCCATCATCCCAGGCCTGTTGTCATTCTGATTGGCCTGTCATCAACCATCTCTGTAGGGTTGAAGATTTCCCCAGAACTTAGCAGACCAGAGACCCGAGCATGATAACTGGGTGCATATACATGGCTCTGGACAGGAAGCAACATCAGAAGTCCAAGCTTGTTTTTCATTATACGATTTATGTTTTAAGAGGGTCTGTTTTTCCTTTTTTTTTTGGCACAGGTCGCAGAGAGAGCGTTATATTATTGGAACAATGAATACATCATGAGTTTGATCAGTGACAATGCAGCCAAAATACTCCCTATCATGTTTCCAGCCCTCTATAAGAATTCCAAAAGTCACTGGAACAAGTAGGTGTTCAGTGTGTGCAGTGGGAATGAATTGCAGGACAGATAGAATAGCCGTGGCCTGGGCATTCTTTGTTGGCCATTGATGCTGTGCCAGCGCTAATGCTAACAGATAGGCGGGATATAAATAAAATAAATAATAAATAATAATAAGTCCAAGCCTGTTTTTCATTATACGATTTATGTGTTTAAGAGGGTCTGTTTTTCCTTTTTTTTGGCACAGGTCGCAGAGAGAGCGTTATATTATTGGAACAATGAATACATCATGAGTTTGATCAGTGACAATGCAGCCAAAATACTCCCTATCATGTTTCCGGCGCTCTATAAGAATTCCAAAAGTCACTGGAACAAGTAGGTCCCTTGTGTGTGTGCAGTGGCAATGAATGGCAGTACAGATAGAAGAGCCGTGGCCTGGGCATTCTTTGTTGGCCATTGATGCTGTGCCAGCGCTAATGCTAAGCATGGTTTCTGCTCATATATATTTGCCCTGGAGAGAAGGAGAAGAGTGCTATTGACAGTTTCTGGAACTCGAAATACATACTGTATATAAGGGGGAAAATAGGTTCCTTTCCTCTGAATTGTTTTCCAGAGGTAGCCAGTGTCTGAGGATGATCTGGTTACTGCCGTCTGAAAGCCATCATGGGTTGCATGCTGCTTTCCTTCATTTTGTGGCTGTGCCACTGAAATACACCATCTCCGCAGCAAAATACACCAGCAAAGTGCTCATTGAGTCAAACATCACATTCATCCACCTCTGTCTTTTGCAGGACAATCCATGGGTTGATCTATAATGCACTGAAACTGTTCATGGAGATGAACCAGAAGCTCTTTGATGACTGCACACAGCAGTACAAGGCAGAGAAGCAGAAGTGAGTAGTCTGTCTGGAACACTCTGCCAAGAGATAACCCCGTGACATTCGAGGCCTTTTCTTCTTGGTAGCGGTTAACTACAACTTTGAAGAAGCTGTGCCTGTTTGACTAGAGCTCACTAGAAGACAGCTTTCTTGTCTTACTTGCTGACACAGAGAAGTTTGAAGGGATGGAGCAAAATTTAAAAAAAAGGACTTCTGATATGTCTGAGAAATTAATTTTTTTTGTGGATACAGGACAAGCTGAACCCAATTTACCAATGATTCTAGAGACAGCTGAGTCTTACAGTAGAGACTCAGCCAGCTGTTGAAACACCGGCTGTGTGAAAATTTATCATCCTGTCTTCCATGTATAGAAATAGGTTCTACTATTGCAGAGCCACCATTGTATAGAGGATGACATAGAAGCTATTGCTCTTAAATTTTGTGTCAGATTGGTTACATTTCCTGTATTTCTGTGGCATGACAGGAATGAAAACCCCAGTCACAACATTGTATCTGTAGGAAATAAAGGTTCAGGTAATGATAACTTGCTTTTCGACCATTTTCTAGGGAAACAGTTAGGTCATAAGTGTTAGATTGCCCTATCCTCCATATATAAACATAGGAGCATGCTTTCTTTATATTGAATCAGCTCATTGCTCTGCCTAACCTAAGATCACCAACTTTGTCTGGCAACAACTTTTAGGAGGTTTAAAGCAGGTTTATTTCCTAACCCCAACTGGTGACCCCTAATACTCTTCGTTATTCTTCTGTCCAAGTTCTAACTAGGGCCTGCTTTGGAAATCAGACAGGATTCGATGTGTCCCAGATGGTATGGCGTTTAAAGAGAACATGATTTAAGAGAGCTGTTATGTATGTAGATGTGGTAGGAGCATCTATGGTATATCAGATGTGTGAGGTAGGAGGACAAGCCAGGGGAAACCGTTCTTATGAGACGTCCTTCAGCAACTCCCTAGCAATCTTTGTTAGAAGCAGAGATGGCAGACGTTTGGCCTTGTTAAAAAAAAAGGCAAAGCGGCAATATTTAATGTGGGGCATTTTAATGGTTTTTTCAGGCTGTGGTTTTTAGAATGGTATAAACTGGGCCTGAGCTCTATAGAGGATGGTTTGCAAGTCTAAATGAAAACAATAAATTCCTTTCCATCTTCAGAGGGCGGTTCAGATTGAAGGAACGAGAAGAAATGTGGCACAAGATTGAGGAGCTAGCCCGCCAAAATCCTCAGGTAATGGCCATTATCAACAGATGGCATGCGTTTTGTAAGTGTTTCTGCACTTACTCTCTCATAGCTTATATAACTAGACATTGTTGTCACTTTAAAAAAATTGTGTGTGATCCAGTAGTTATTTTGCACTAGTATCTGACTTTTAAAGTGTGTGGACATTGTATAGCCCTTGATGAGTTGCTGTTGGTTTCAGGTTACTTTCTGTAAAATGACCATAATCATGAATGCACATGTCTTCCTTCAGTGGGATACACATCTTTAAGGTGTATTTCCTAGAATGGAGAGGCTGAAATCCCATTGCTTTGTTACTCGGGCAGAAGGGAATTGTCATAACATTCATTTACTTCTAGCTGGCAGTTGATGAGTTGCCACTGCAGTTTTTGGGGATGCTCACACCCACTGGCTTTGCGTACTTGAGGATCCCAGCAGGGACTTGTTAATTACTGGCCTGAAGCCAGTGAATTTTAGGGTCCTGCCTGTGTAGCAAAGCAACAGGATTTTGGCCAGAGCATGGTTTAGTTCTTCCTAGCAAAAGAGAATTCAGGTGTTCTTCTTTGTGGTCTCTGTGAATGCACACTAATGGGTTAATCTGCCGCCGCTACTGCAGCTACTCAGATCGGAGCTTCGTGTTTGTTTTTTCCCTTCAGTATCACTTAAATCATATTCTTGGACCTCCCGGCTTTTTTGACTTGGCTTATTTCACCATTCTTCTGGTTTTGTGAGTCTAACGTTCAGAATAGAACTGTGTTTTTTGAGTGTTTTTCTGTGAGTTTGTGGCCACTTTGAGGCCCTTCAAGCGTTGCATGTCCTGCTCTAACAAGGTCCCGCTTTCTGACGGTCTCGGCTGGTCTCGGGGAGGAGCACCAGCCTGCTTTGAGCACCATTTGTAAGGCTTTTACTAAGCCTGTCCTAAATCAGAGACTGCAGTGACTTCACTCCTACTTGTGGGAGAAATTGCTTGCCCAGCATGAGCCTTGGCCATGGAACCACCGCAAGCTCCCCCTTGTGAGACCTCTTCAACCGCCACTCATTCGCCTAAGCATGGTCACAAAGCAACTAAACTGTCATCCTCGGGCTTGAGGTCGACTGCTTTGGGGTTGATATCGAAGCCCCCTTTGACCTCAATGCCAAGGAAGAAAAAGAAACCATCTTCCAAGACCTCTAGGCCCCTAACTGAGCCTTCTCCGTCGGTTCTGAGGTTCTTGCTCGACAGAGTAATCTACGAATTCAAGGCTCTTCCCTTTGGTTTGTCCACGGCACCCCGGGTGTTCACGAAATGTTTAGCCCCAGTGGTGGCCCATCTTCGTTTGCACGGTTTAACAGTATTTCCGTACCTAGATGATTGGTTGCTGGTGACACCTTTGTATCTACGAATTCAAGGCTCTTCCCTTTGGTGTGTCCACGGCACCCCAGGTGTTCACGAAATGTTTAGCCCCAGTGGTGGCCCATCTTCGTTTGCACGGTTTAACAGTATTTCCGTACCTAGATGATTGGTTGCTGGTGACACCTTTGTGTACTCGATTGCTTCAAGATATTTCATTTACTTTCTTCCTTTTATCTGATCTTGGACTCCAGGTAAGCCGAGAAAAATCCACTTTATGCCCTACTCATAGGGTCTTCTATATTGGAGCAATATTAGATGCCACCTTGAGCCAAGCATTCCTTCCCGAAAACAGGATTGCAAAGGCGATGCTAGAACACTTCACTCTGGGAGCCAAAGTGCAGGCTCTTTAGGCTATTGGGCCTAATGGCTTCCACCACTGCGGTAGTTCAACATGCCAGGCTGAAAATGAGATCCCTTCAAGGCTGGTACCTGTCACTATATGATCCTCTCCTGGACCCTCCTTTCAAGCTGCTGACAGTTACAGCAGAGCCGGCAGCGCAGCTGACCTGGTGGGCCTTCCGCCCCAATCTACTGATAGAGAGATCTTTTGGACCTCTAACACCAGAAATACAGGTAACCACGGATGCAAGTCTAACAGGTTGGGGTGCGCAGGTCAAACAGTTGACAGCACACAGGCTTTGGTCACAGGAGGAGAGCCGTATGCACATCAATTTTCTTGAGCTTCTAGCCATTTACAAGGCCTTCCGGGCCTTCGAGTGTGTCCTCTGCGGCCGCGTGGTACAGGTGGCATCAGACAACACCACAGCTGTCTTCCTGAATAAACAAGGTGGCACACATTCTCTCCACCTGCTGTATCTCTCAATCCAGATTTGGGAGTGGTGCTACAGCCATCATATCTTCCCTGTAGCTGTACATGTGGCTCCAGGAGATAACATTCTAGCATGTTGACTGAGCAGATTCCAAGACTGCAGCCACGAGTGGTCACTAGACAGGGATGTGTTCCTGTCTCTTTGCCACCAAAAGTTTAATGTGCAAAATACACATATGCAAAATATGTACTTTTAAAACATAGAGGCAACACCTCTCCATATTTCCTCGGTTTCATAGCCATTTTGTTATAGCTTCTTTTACAAACCCTAGTCTGATTGCTTTGATGCAGAAGAGAAAATCTTAGAATAAAACATTTTTCGTCACTTGTTAGGCAATGTATTCATGATCTCCTGGACCGAGGGGCTCCTCTAGATGTTTCCTCCCATTCCACTAATCCAGAAAGCTATCATCAAGGCTCGTCAAGAGAAGGCAAATGTTATCTTCATCGCACCTTGGTGGCCACGCCAGACTTGGTTCTCCGCACTGCATCAAGACTCAGTGGACCGTGTTCATCTCCCGTCACTACCTCACCTCCTATCTCTGCACGAGGGCAAAACACTACACCCAGATCTGGAGTCCCTGCATCTCACAGCCTGGAGACTGGTCCCTCAGTAGCTGATATCTTGCTCCATGCCTGCAGGCCTTCCACAACCGCCACATATGCTTATAAATGGAAGGTATTCTTCGACCACCACTAAGAATCACCTCCCCACGAGACCTACCTCTCTTGATGCACTGCTACAGTTCCTACATCTTCTCTTTCGTTGGGGCCTGTCGCGTTCCACCTTCAAAGTGTATGTAGCCACAATAGTAGCCCATCAACCTCCAGCTTCAGAAGCCACAGGCTTATTCCACCATCTAACTCTAAAACAGTTTTTGAAGGGTCTCAAAAATATGTCTCCAGCCTATAAGCCACCCACACCTCAGTGGTCCTTGCAGCTCATATTGAACAAGCTCATGAGCGTATGCTTATAAATGGAAGGTATTCTCCGACCACCACTAAGAATCACCTCCCCACGAGACCTACCTCTCTTGATGCACTGCTACAGTTCCTGCGTCTTCTCTTTTGTTGGGGCCTGTCGCGTTCCACCTTCAAAATGTATGTAACCGCGTGAGTCCACCGTTTGAGCCTATGGCTACCACTTCTTTCAAGCTCCTTACGCTAAAGACAGGCTTCCTTCTCGCTGTTACTTCGGCACGGTGTGCTGGTGAATGGGCAGCTCTTCAAGTTGACCCAGCCTGATGAGGTGACCCTATTCCCAGAGCTCTGTTTCGTGCCAAACGTGGCTACAGCTTTCCACCTTAATCAACCTATAGTATTGCCTACCTTTCCCCCCGGCTCCAACGTCAAAGCTGGAAAGCGCTCTCCACTCCTTGAATGTCAAGAGAGCCCTTTCCTATTAATGTCTCCTGGTCTACGTCCTTTCGTTCTTCACACAGACTGTTTGTGTCCTTCCAAGAACAGTCAAAGGGTCTCCCGATGTCGGCACAAACAATTTCCCGGTGGATAGTTACTACGATTCGCCTAGCATACGAACTGGTTCATGCACCTTTGCCAGCTCCAGTTTGGGCCCATTCTACTAGAGCAGTCACCTCCTCCACAGCCTTCCTTAGAGGGGTAGACCTGGCAGGTATCTGCAAGGCTGCTACGTGGTCCACGCCACTCACCTTTGCGACCTGCTACCACCTAGATGTTTGAGCCAAAGCAGAGGCTGTCTTCGCATCTATTTTTTTGTGATGCCCACCACCTGGTAAGTCAGCTTGCTAGTCACCAATTAGTGTGCAGTCACAGAGACCACAAAGAAAAAAAAGAGATTACCTTTTACAAAAAGAGACATATTTTTGTAACTCTGGTTCTTTGAGTGGTCATCTGTGAATTCACACTCCCCGCTGTATGTCACTGTGCCATATGGCATGCTGCGCAGCGGCGGACAATTCCATGGAAATGAGGCATTTGGTGCCGGGGGCAGGGTTATAGCCAGCGTGTGGGAGGTCCTGGGACCATGTGCCTGAGCTCCAGAAGATCCTAAGGCTGCTCTGCGCAGGCGCAGATTAACTCATTAGTGTGCATTCAAAGATGGCCACTCGAAGAACCAGAGTTACAGGTAGGTAACCTCTTTTTCTTCTTGCAAAGCAAAATTCAAGCATTCAAGACAGGTATCAAGTACTACTTCTTTTGCCTGTATTTACAGTACGGCTATGAGACATGTGCTTCAAAACCATTAAGTTGTTAAAATGTCAAAGAAACAAAGGAAGCGGCATTATATTCAGTTAGTTGGATTAGGAGAGGGCATCTTGTGGCCCTCCAAATGATGTTGGACTACAACTCCCATCAGCCCTAGTCAGCATAACCAACGGTCAGGAGTGCTGGGAGCTATGCTTCAAAAGCATCTTGAAGGCCACACATTCTCCCCCTCATAATCGTTAATCTGTCTAATTCAACATTTGTCTACAACAGGGATGAATACTCTCTAGAAGTCTAGTAGGTGCACACACATTCTCAAACTTTAGACAGCTCCTCTGAATGTCATCCACATTTTCCCCTGCAAAATATAGATATATGTATTTTAAAAGACTCTCAGGAGGATGGGGCGACTCTTGTAGCATGGCAGAAATGCCTCCTAGGGGGCACAAGGGGACTTTCCAAGCAGAAAGATTTTTGTAGGGATGCTGGGAATATTAGGCATCTGAGAGTACTCTGATCAAGGAAGGAAATACTTTACAGGTCATTATATAAAAAGAAACACTCAAAATGTTAAATGTCCAGCAGCGCAGTACAGTGGTGCCTCACATGATGACGTTAATTCGTTCCGAAAAAATCGTGTCAAATGAAAACGTCATGCGATTTTAAAAAGCCCATAGAAACGCATTAAAACCCAATTAATGCATTCCTAGGGGCTTAAAACTCACCGTCCAGCAAAGATTCTCCATAGTGCAGCCATTTTCGCTGCCCGTGCAGCGAGAAATCAGTGCCAGAAAACAGTGGGCGGCCATGTTTTTCACCCAGCGGCCATGTTGAAACCGCCGATTAGCTGGCCGAAAATCATCACTTTGTGATAATCGGTTAGCGAAACAGGGGCCCGATCATCGCAAAGCAAAATTCCCCCATAGGGAACGTCGTGATGTGATTTTGTCATCAAACGGAGCGCTCGTAATGCGAGGCGCCACTGTACTTAACTTTAACACTCTCTGGTTGTGAAAAGCACGTTGCTTATCAGATACACAAGTCAAATTTACCTGCCCAGTCAGTTTTATTTTAAAAACAGATTTAATCATGACTCTAGAACTCATAAACAATCCATTTTTGGACAACAGCTGCCAGTATCAGGTAGCATGTCTAGGATTCTGGGAGTTATAGTCCACAAAAGTAACTTTTCCAGAGTTCTCTTCCAAATTACTTTTAACACAGATTAAATTTAATAAAGGATCATTTTGTAAAATACTACCCTGATATATTTGTGCTATTATAATGTGGTCTGTATTAATTCCAGAAAGACCTTGCAAATTACTGATAGTTATTCACACACCTTTTGTTTTAGTTCAAAGCCTGTTGGAGGTGTGATTAATCCAATCGCAATCAAAATTATAATCAAAATAGAGTGCTTGGCAGCTCTTTATCTTAACTACTGTTTCACGGTAAAGCAGTAAAGCTAAAGGGCATTAAAAAAACATTTAAACCATGTTGGGATCATTTAGACTCCTCAGTAATTTGGAAATGCTGGATTTCATTTTCCTTCATTCATCCTAATTGATGTCTGATAATGATGTGATTTTAATGGTTTCTCTCTAATTAAAAGAGAAAGAAATACCGAGAGATGGAGATGTGAAACAACACAAGAAAAATCAGGCTCTTCAAATTGAATATGAAAGCCGCAGAAATTGGAGAGGCGACATTTTAAATAGTTTCATATTCATCATGCTATTTCAAAGAAGGGACCCCTTGTTCTGTAAAGGGGGAGGAATTGGTATTATCATAGAAAAGTGAAGTTGGAAGGGACCTATAAGGTCATCAAGTCCAACCCCCTGCTCAATGCAGGAATCCAAATCAAAGCAGATAATCTGCCAGGTATAATACTATCCCCATGCTTTTTGTAAATGCAGTTGTTGGTGTGCTCTGAAAGAAGGTGTTCTCAGCAGCTGCTTCCAGCTCTGGGACCCCCTGTCAAGGGAGCGCCAACCAACTCCATGTCTCTTGTCCTCCTCCTAGCAATCAAATATGTCTTTTTATTCAGATAGGTTTTGGGCTTTTTAAACTGCCTTGCCTTCTGAATTAAATTTTGACTAGTAGGCATTGTTTAGGTCTTGTTCATTGACAAGTTTTGACTGATTTGTGTTATAATTATTTTATTATAATTAGTCCGGTTTGTTTATTTAAAAAAAATAATTTTAGAAATGTAGATATTTAAAAATATTTAAAACATTTTTACCCTGCCTTTCTCCTAAACAAGGACCCATGGTAGCTTATATCACTAAAAACACAATATTAAAAGCTAAAAACAGTAAATGATTCACATATTGAAAAATAATTAAATAAGCATTATAATGCTGTCTTTAATGGAAAGACAGAAGGTAAGGGAGCGAGTGGGTGATTGGATAGATAGGTAAACTGATGGACAGAAAGACAGACAGATACCAAATATTTTAAAATTTTTATTTAGTTACCTTGAGTGCTATCGATACCGGAAAGATAGGCTATAAAAGAGAGTGAAAGATAGATATGTGTTGAAATTACCTTGGGGGGCCTGTGTTACATCTGTTGGCGTTGCCGTACATGAGTTGTTGAGCTTGAGTTCCCTTCTTTTGTGTGTGCTACGTTCCTGCAGTACCCCATGTATTGCGCACCCCCACCTTTGCCTCCTGTTTATTGCATGGAGACGGAGACCCCTACTGCAGAGGACATTCAGCTGCTGAAGAAAACGATGGAAACGGAGGCTGTGCAGGTGACTTACCTATATCTCCCCAATGGAAACGGGAGCTGTTCTGTAGAACGGGAATCAGGGAAGTGTGACTCTCTAGACATTGCAGGACACTGCTGCCATCAGCCTTAGCTAGTTGAGCCAGGGAGAATGGGTAATGGGAGTTGTCGTCCAACAGCACCTGGAGGGCCACATGTTCCCCAAGCCTGCTATATGATCAGGGGTTTCTTACTAACCAGTCAGCTTTGTCCACGTTGAATAAATAGTTGGCTGCCTTGTTTCTCTGTGCAAAAGAGCACTGGTACGGAAAGGAACTAACTCTCCACCCTTAATTGGTTTGCTGTGTTTAGTTCCAAATTGGAGGTGGGGGTCTTCTGCGCATTACTGAAGACACAGTAGCTCTGCCATAATTGTGTTGTGACCTCTAAAGATCTGGCATTGTGTACAGATGCTGTTACAGTACTTGTGTTGGCAAGGAGAGCTCTGCCATAATTGTGTTGTGACCTCTAGAGATCTGGCATTGTGTACAGATGCTGTTAATTGTGTTGGCAAGGAACTTGTAAGAAAAATGCAGTGACTTTATACCTTCCGTCAGAGCCCTGCAGATGTTGTTGGACTACAGCTAGCATTGTCCCTGACTACTGGCCATGCTGGAAAGAATCTGTAGAAACTGGAGTCCATATCAGTTTATTCATCCAGCAGGCCTAGGTGAATTAGCAGCTTCTCTGCTGGGCTGTTTTTCATTTCAAGTGTTGGCATACATGATAGGGATCCCTCTCATAATGTGGTCTCAGGGTGGAGAGTGGCGCAAAGGGAGAGCAACTAGAATTGTCCCTACATTACACAGTTCTAGTAATTCTGATATTACCTTAACTGTTGCAGCTGCATTCTACAGAATGCTGAGATTTGCAGTTTGTTGTGGTATTTAAAAAGACATTTCTGCTTAGCTAAGGAGATCGTTCCAGCATTTGTAGCAGGGAATGTATGTACCTCACCAAACTGCAAGCCCCTGGCTTCTGTGGGATTGGAGACACAGCCTTTCATGTTGAACTGCTATTAAGAGTAGCAAAGGTAAAGACTGAGTGGTGGGGGCTACAGATCCCAGACCTGGCTGAAATTAATTCCAAGTTATCATCTGGTAAATGATGGAAAGTAAGCCCCAAAACAGAAGTGGGCAATATTCGTCAGGAGCCCAAACTCAGAACATGACTCCTCATCTGTGATGAATTTGTGTCTAGATGTTGAAGGACATGAAGAAGGAGAAAGTTTTGCTGCGTCGGAAATCAGAGCTTCCGCAGGATGTCTACACCATAAAGGCCCTGGAAGCGCACAAGAGAGCGGAAGAATTTCTCACCTCAAGCCAGGAGGCACTCTGACGGGCTAGGGAGCCCCTGGAGGGTACACAGAAATGCACTTTGTTCTAATGTATAACTAGGGAATGAACATGGTGAGCTGTGCCTCTCCTCCGCTCCATTCTCATTCTTTCAGGTTAGATTTGATTTTACATTGTACCTCATGTCCCGCCACACTGTCACTTCCTCCTGCTTTATCCTCTTAAGGGTTGTGTTTCGTGTGCACGTGCAAAGGGAACCTAGCCAATCCATGAGAGTACCATTTCACACAGGGGAACATCCTGGTTCCTGTTCTTCTTTTGAATTGACTCCAACCCCAGGACCAAAGCTTTGAGAGTTCAAGCACTTACCGGCCATGCGCTACAGCAGGGGTGGTCAGACGCGAGCCCTCCAGGTGTTGTCCAGCTGCAGCTCCTGTCCTCACTTGTCACTGGCCGTGCTGGCTGGGGCCGATGGGAGTGGCAGTCGAAGAGCAGTATGTCCCCCCCACATGCCTACATTACAGTAGTGCCTCACTACAGCCTTCCAGCACTAGTTTGATTTCCATTCCCACATCATCCCCCAATCATCTGGCCTGAATAGCAGCAGCTATATCTGAAACTGACTGAGGTCAACATAGGTTATTTTCTAGGGATCAGGGCAGGCTTGTTTCTGGTGGACCGGGCAAGAATTGGGAACACTGTGTTGCCTCCCCACTGCCCCCGCATACTTGGAATAAATGGTTAATCTGTTGAAGAATGTTGGTTGTTTTGGTCAACATGAATAACCGTTTGCACTTTCTTTCCTGTCCTGCAAATTGTGATGCAGTGCAGATAAGCAGGTCTCTAGAGCTACTGGTTTGGATCCTATTTTCAGTTCCACCGTAGTTCTTGTCCCACCAGACAGATCCCATCAGTTCATCTCTGCACTTGGTTGCTGAAGTGTAGCTGCTGTACCACACAGGCTCATTTAGTAGTGTGTTTTTCCTCTTTAGCTCAGCTGGAATTGGAGCATGAGTGACTCCTAACAGAATCTCTCCATAATGGCCACTTTCTTTTCCACTCTTGGCTTCTAGCTCAAGAGACCACTGACTAAATACTTACTAGCAACAGAAGGTTACTGAACTTTTTTGCAAAGAGCTTTAAGCATATCAGAAACTGGATAATGGCTACACAACCCAGGAAACTCATAATCATATCAATTGTTCTAGCCCAAGGTGGAGAGAAACAGCAGACACTTCTCTCAAGGTGGTGTACAGTAGAAAGGATTAAGCTGCTTTCCTTAAGATACCACTTCTTCATTACCATCATTGTCATGTGCCATAAAGTCAATTCTGGCTTATGGTGGCCCTTTTCAAGGTTTTCCAGGTAGAGAGTACTCAGAAATGGTTTACCATTCCATTCTTCTGGGGGGAGCCAAGGGACTGTACAGCTTGCCCAAGGTTACACAGGCTGGCTCTCCTCTCAAGAGGCACAGTGGGGAATCAAACTCCCAACATCTGGTTCCAGATACTTAACCTAACCAGATACCTAAACCACTGAGCTATCCAGCCAACTGGCAAGATACCACTTAAGTCACACAAATAAATGTTGAATTTGCTTAATGTGCTGCCATTGCTCACAGGCTGTGAATGAATTTTTGGATCATGGAACATTACAAAAGTGAAAGACCCTCATGTGTATTCAAGTCTTCACCCACCTTCTACCTGTAGATTATTGACTCTAGCTTTGGAAAGCTTATAAGATTCTAGTTTTCAGTCCTGTAGTATTTTAAAGGCTGCAAGTCTGATCTCCTATTTGGAAGTAAACTCCATTGAAGCCAATGGGGCATCAGCAAAAATATGTTTTAGCATCAGCCTGTATGCCTCTTTCCATTCTACGTAGTATTCATAGTGTTACTTTTAATATCTGCCTGCAATTTATTTATCTATTTACCAGTGCTAACCCTCTTCTATTTTCCCTTAATTTCTGTTTTGCTCTGCTTTCCCTTCACCGTTAGATCAGCGGTTCCCAACCTTGGGTAACCTAAGTGCTCTTGGACTGCAATATCGACAAGTTCACCACCAGCTGTGCTGGCCAGTTTCTGGGAATTGCAGTCCAAGAACACATGGATTACCCACATTTGGGAACCCCACTACATGAGATGAACCTACATCTCTCAGGGAATCCCTTAGTCCTGCTGCACCTTTGTGTTCTTAACGTCTCTTGGAAGATTGAACAGTTAATCTCAGACAGGTGAGGGTTTCTCCAGTTTTTCACACTCTAGCTAAGCCATACTGTTGCTTTCTTTTAGCTGCAAAACACAGTTGGAACAGGAATGGAGTTGCTTGCTGTAAGCAGTGAGATGTGACAGATAGTTTGCTACTAGTACTCACTGCTAGTCCATCAAATCAATTACAGGTGGAACTCCTGGAGTATTCCTGTTTAGTTCATTCCTCTGTAGGATGCCCCACTCAACAGTAGTCATAACTTTGTGGCCACTAAGCATGTGCGATCCTCACTGGTCTGTTACTGGTCCTGCCTTCCGCTTCCTCTGGTGTTTCCACCAACTTTCTTATACTTAGGCAAAGCTTGGTTTATGAATGGGTGGTGCTCTTTTGGCTACATAATGACTCATACTCGAGAGAATTGAGATTGCTGTAAGTATACATGATTAAATGAATCCTCCACTGTCTGCTGCCAAAACATTTTCAGTATTGGTTCTTGAAGATGCTTTCTCTGGCTAATGGTTTTGGGGTTTTTTGGGGGGATGGGGAGCATCTAAACTCTTTGTCATCTTGCAGTGAAAAGAGGGAAATACCACTGGTATGGTTTTCAAGTGTAGCTTAGCTGCTGGAGGGAAGTCAGCTTGGAGCTCTTCTGTAAGTGCAGTTCATTCTTCTGTCTCTTCTCCTTTCTCCTCCCCTGAGGCTGGGCTCTGCAAACAAGGATGAGTGTAGGAAATCTTTCTACCTTCCATTCCCACATCTACCCACCTCAGCACTTCTCTGCCTGGCATTATTTGGCACGGGTGGAGCAGGGCTGTAATGGAGCATCATGTGCTGTACGGCTTAGATGTAAATATAGCCTGTCTAATCTTTGTTTGGGGTCAGGGAACTTGTGTTTGGTACCTAACATTAAAGTTTAGTTTGCCGCCAATTCATTCCAGTGTCCTATGTATCTGATGGATGGGAGGAGCTGTGTGAGAAACTGGGCAAAAATGTTACTGACTCAAGCCAAAATGAGCACCAAAAGCACACAATGCTGTCACTTTTTACATTAACCCAGCTCTACTTAAGATTCCCCTAGCATTTGCCCTGGTTTCTGCTTTTACCTCCCTTACTTTTTACAAGGAGAGGGCAGAGCTGCCTCTTTCACTTTTTACATAGCCCCTCTTGAAAGGGAAAAGCAAAACTAAGATGCATTCACTCCCTGGACACACGTATTAAGCTGCTTTACAGTTCATTATGTACATATGGTGTACTTTATTTTCAGTAGAGTATTACATAGTATGACAGTGTTGGATTTTGTACAGATGTCCCTGTATGTACAGAACTAAATAAAATGGATCTCTTGAAAAGATGACACACTGGACTTCACCTCATGGCCATTCCTAGCTCGTCAGCCCATGTATCACATGGAAAAAGGGTTAGGGGTGGGGTGGGGGTGGGGAAGAAGAGAACAACAGGGCTAAAACATGCATCTCCCAAGATCATTTCACAGGGGTTGTTTATTTCTTTGACAGGCCCCTTTTGCTCCCCAGAATTAGGAAACTTCTGCCATCATTATTACTGCTCAGTCGCTGGGCATTACAAACAGCTGACAGAGTAGGCAGTAATTTAAAGCATGTGAAGATGAACACAGAATATCAATGCTGGTGGAAGATAAACATCTACCTGACCACTTCAGAGAAGACTGTTTAAAGTGCAGCACTTTGTGCTTAGCTGCTTCCTATGCAAGCAGGGAGAAATTCACGGTTCAGTCTTCATTTCCATTCTGGCTTAGAGCCACTCTGACTCTGTCTGGCTTGTAGCGTCCGCTGCACCATATCCTGCCACTGATCGTCCGAGATCTCATTAGCCCACGCAGGGATCCCCAGTGTGGGCAGCTTGACTCCAGCCATCGTCCTTTTCACCAGCTCCACATGTTCTAAAGCCAAAGGAAGTCAAAGGATGAGAGACAGCTCAAAAAGAAGGAAAAAGCTGTGTTAAAGAATTCCCCTATTCAAATGGTGCTTAATTCAAAGGGAGATTCAGATTCCATGCAGTTCTCTGAATGGAGAAAGGGGCAGCTCACCCAAGGTGAGAACCAGCGCAGTGCAAAGGTTCTGGGTTACTGCCAGTGTGGGGGGATGTCACTTCATGAATCATGGTGCATTTGCAGTAATGGGCATGAACTAAAGACTGCTTGAGGAAGCTTATAAACAGGAAAGATCAGCACAGCAATAACCCAAACCATACAAAGAGTTGAATACATAAAACTTAAAATCTGGAGCAGAAGATTTCAATTTCAGAAATGTTGTCAGTGCTGCATTCCAGTGGGTGAAGCCAAAATCAAAAAGGTAGGAAAAAAACATACCAGCATATATTTGCAAGAAGCCTTTCTGCCAGCAACTAAGCTTAAGGAGAACCATGTCAACCATTTACTAAAGGGGGAGGGCACAAAAGCTGAGAAAACACCAAATGAGCTGTTAAAAGAAAAAGAGGCATCAGGCAAACTGCAGAAGGGTTTGATTTGGCCTCAGGCCAACAAACTCCTGAGTTCAAAGGTAGGGAACTATTTTCCAGATTGCTTCACCCCACAAACAGATGATGTTGGGGATGGGTCTTCCTGAAGCCTTGCCCAATCTTAGGGAACCCTCTCTCCACACTGAAAAGTGCCTATTTGTGAAAAGGACAGGACCTCCTAGCACTACAGAAAGACAGTAATCAGATCTAATAGAAAATTTTCTTCTCACACACTGGAAAAAAAACTGTGTTTCTCTAGTGCAGGGAAAAGAATCAAGGCCCAGTACTCAGCTGGAACACCTTCATAGACAGGATGAGACCCATGTACCAAAAGATTCTCATCCTTGCAGTATACACTAGTATAGAGTTTACAGAAAACTGAGGATAAGAAAGTTCATGTTAATGAAAGAAATGAAGAGTACAGAGTGTTCAGTTTGAGCAAGGAGGAACCAGGTTTAGACCTCAATTTGATTCTGTACAGAAACGAATAAAATAAACCTCTTAGGTAGATGACACACTGGACTACATCTCATAGCCACTCTTAGCTCTTCAGCTAAGTGTTTGACTATAACTCCCAGAATCCTTGATTGTTGACTGCACAACTGGAGCTTCTACGAGTTGAAATCTAACAATGCTTGGGGACCCATGCTTGGCAATCATCACTTTAGCCTACATGCCACATATGAAAAGGAGAGTAGGAAGAGTGAATAAACCCACTCCAGTTCACCTCAAAGGACTGAAGCAAGAGGGAATACCCCTTCTGCAATCATGGGTTTTCTAAAAAAATATGATAGAAATATCATGGATGTGATCAGGAACTTTAAAGACATGGCAAAACAAGGCAATCACAGACATTAAGAAAGAGAATGGAAAAACTCATATATAGCCTGAATGTGTCAGGGTTCTGTATCCATAGTGAAGTTCATTACTATCATGCTGGCAATCTGTGTAGGCTAAAAAGACATTAAAGTGTTATATATTTTGTTGAGTTACCTGGGTCCATAGGGATAGAGGTGTGACTGCTCTGAGCTAAAGATCCCTCTTCCTCGTCACTGTCCACAGGTGGGTCAGGCAAGTGCAATCTCATTGCCTGTATGCAGTGCACAATGTCATGGAAAATATTAAGCAGAAAGAAAAGGATGCTGTACTAAGGTTATTTTTATAGCCCCGCCCTTCTAAGGACATGTCCTTATGTAACAAAACTGTTACCTGAAGTCGCTCGTTGATATCGAGAGTTGGCTCTGTACTAGGCACAGTTTCTTCAAGTATCACTGGTCCCTGATCCGGGTCTTGGTTAAGAGGTTGGTACAGGTAGCCGTTATTGCTTTCTTCCTCCTCCTCTTCTGGTTCTTCACTACTCCACTCCCCAGCAGGATCAGGGGTTCCATCTGGTGCCTCTTGGAGGCCCAGCTCTTCGTGTTCATTTGGACAAATCCTCTCTGGACCCATTCTCAGTGCCACCACTGGCTCCAAGGCCATGCACTGGGAACTGTGAGAAGAACATGCAGATGGATCTCTTATGCTTTGGATAGCAAAATACTTAATCTGTTAAAAACCTGAATACAGTATTTGTTTGAGCAGTAATTTGAAAAACACAAGTTTGCAAGGAGAGAAGATCAATTTTTAGGGAGCTCTCTCGAGATTAGTCATTATACTTTGCCAGTTTTCAAGCTATAATACTGGGGGAGACCACATACATAATATGACTAGGATAGTGGTTTTAAAGATATCTTTCAGGGAAGTCTGTGCTCTACAACAGATCTAATAAGGACACTGTGATCTAGTGCCGAGTTTGACAACTAGGATACTCCATAGGATACCTGGCTATACAAATACAAACACGTCTGTTAAAAGAACTTACTTTCTTGCCTGTTAGGTAACTCAATATTTTGTTAATGATGTGCAAATCCTCAACAAACTGATTAGTCTACCCAGCAGCACTTTGCCCCAGATATGACAACTAGGATACTCCATAGGATACCTGGTTATACAAATACAAAGACATCTGTTAAAAGAACTATACTTTCTTGCCTGTTAGGTAATTCAATATTTTGTTGATGGTGTGCAAATCCTCAACAAACTGTGATTAGTCTACCCGGCAGCACTTTGCCCCAGATACATTATCCACCCATCCTCGGGAGGAAAACCAGCATAATGTAGTGGATAGTGTGTTGGACCAGGACTCAGGAGACATGGATTCTATGTTCAGCCATGGAAACTGCTGGGAAGAGGCACTGATAGAGGAATAAGTCAGAGATGATGTGAGGGCAAAGAGGAACAACCATCCCACAACCAAGGGAACATTACCATCACAAAATGAGCCTTCTCACTAGTGACACACTCTCTGCAATATCTTCCCAGATTCAAAAGGCAATCTGGTCTGGAGGCCCAAGGTTGGGGACCACTGGCATAGAGGAACAACCATCCAACAACCAAAGGAACATTACCATCACATAAATGAGCCTTCTCACTAGTGACACACGCTCTGCAATATCCTCCCAGATTCAAAAGGAAGAAAATACGATTTTTCTGAAAACTTGTTTATACAAACCCATGAGATGCTTGCAGGACAACTGTTTCAAGGCATGCCAAGGTTGGGGACCACTGGCATAGAGGAACAACCATCCAACAACCAAAGGAACATTACCATCACATAAATGAGCCTTCTCACTAGTGACACACGCTCTGCAATATCCTCCCAGATTCAAAAGGAAGAAAATACGATTTTTCTGAAAACTTGTTTATACAAACCCATGAGATGCTTGCAGGACAACTGTTTCAAGGCATGCTTCTTTTAGCGGTGGGAGTAGCAGATAGCCACCCTGACTTTATGTTATGTGCTATCAAGTCAGAACCAACTTAAAGCAACCCTAATTTTTTCTCTCCTATTTGATAACTTGTTTATATGCCTTGTGTTCTGCATTTTATTCCAACAATTGATGCCTCTTGATTGTGGCTTTAATTGCTTATTTAATAAATAATGGTTACAGGATAATTGCCAGGACAGCAATGGGGAGAGGAACCATGCTTGCCACCACCCCCACCCCCACTTTTTCTACCAATTAAATAAATGCACAAAGTGGGGGGGGGAGAAGAAGTGAACCTTATGTAAACTGCCCAGAATAGTGCATGACACTAATGGGGCAGTATATAAATTTACCCCCACTTTTTCTACCAATTAAATAAATGCACAAAGTGGGTGGGGGAGAAGAAGTGAACCTTATGTAAACTGCCCAGAATAGTGCATGACACTAATGGGGCAGTATATAAATTTAAGAAATAAATAAATAAATAATATGGCTTTCAAGGTAAGGGAGAGATTTATGTAGTTCTACCAGTTCCACAAACACCCCAGTGAGTGTTCACAGCTGAGCAGGGATTTGAAGGAAAGCCTCCTGAGTCCTAGCCTCTCACTCTGTCCACTGCAACACACTAGATATCATCCACAGCCAAATCCAATGTCAGCTTTGTCCAAGACCTTTGTCTAAATTGGTGGCCACTCTCATGTTGCAAGAAACTAATTCCACGTTTTAAACTATGAGCTGCAGGCAGAAGTACTTCCTTTTGTGCATCCCACAGCTTAGAATCAACTGCTATAATCACCCAGTGTTCCACTTAAGGTCTGGCTTGAATTTTTCACCATTTAGTTCCTTTGGAACCTCTGGAATATTGAAAACAGTTTTTCCACCCACTTTCCCCACACTGTCCATAGCTGTACATGCTCTTGTCATGATCCCATTATTCGCCTTTTTCTCCCCTAAATCCAACGGACCCAAACCCACATTTGCAAAGGGTGCCCCAGTTGATCTGAGACCCCGCCTGACGAGGGTTCAAATCCGTATTCGATCTGCAGTTCATTGGACGACCATCGGCCAGGCAGAGACCTTCAGCCTCACGTATCTTTCAGGAATCAGGGCTGTTGCCAGGAGAACAATGAACCATGTTTGTCCCCCTCCATCTTTTTCTAGGAAGGGAGAGGTAATAATCCACCAATTAAATAAATACACAAAACGGGTGGAGAGACGAAGCGAAAGCGCTCTCTATACGCTACGTCATATGAGCCCCCCCGCAACAAAGACCTCCATTTCCAACGTCACCCGCTCCCATTTATTTATTATTTACTTATATAAATAAATTTTCACCCGCAGAAAGGCGACGAAGTACCTGCCAAAAGCCCCCTCCTTCCCGCAACACCCCTTTGTCGACGGCCTCACCGAGACAAAAAAAAATATCCGCCTTCTTGCTGTAAATTCCAAATAAACCCTTCAGCCTCTTCTCCGCTCAGCCTCCGGAAACAAGACGACGCAGCAGGCCACTGGATATGACGTCGTAACCGTGCGCGGCGGCAGATCCGCCGTAACTATGACAACCTCCTGCAGTGTTCGTGTGCTTTACTGTGTCATTCCTTTTTTAGATCCCTACTCCGTCTGAGCTTTTGAAACTTTTGATATTCTTTGCAGATAATTATCTGCCTCTGGTTTTATACAATGATTCCAAACAAAGATTAGGATCTTCCTACCCCGCACATTCCTGCCTTTGATTCACGAGAGTGCTTGAATTTAGACTGGCCACGACCTGTTCTTTGGAATTGACCCTTGAATTAAGCAGAAAATTCCTGAAGCAAAAATAAATCAGTTGTCTCTAGAGACACCACGGGACTGTTTGGTGCCGATCAGTTTCTTGTTTCAGCCGTATGGCGTGGCCTTTAGTTTACAAAGACCACCATTTATTATTGTTTTCATCAGTTTAGCAGACCACACATGCTCATGAACCCGTTGTTCCTACCCACCTGGTTTTGAAAGTCATTGTAGAGCACTACTTGCGGGGCGGGGGGAGAGGTTCTGCTCAAAAATTATACTTATTTTGCTCTTGCTGTAGATGCCTTTTAAAAAAATGCAGCACCGTAGATAAATATATCCTAAAACTGTCCAAGCTTCAACTCCTCCCTGATTTCAGCATCCTCCACATGGATCTCTTTAATTCAGATATCTGAAGTGTATGAGCGATGCATTGCAATAGCAGATTAATACCCACAGGTAAGCAGAAGTTAAGAATAAGCAGTGTGGTTCTTAGGCTACAATCCTATACTGTACACAGTTAAGAAGAACTGACTTCGGTGGGGCTTCTGAGTAGCTACATATAAGATGGCATCATCAGACAACGTGAGAGAAACAGAGGTCAGTATTTTTGTGTTCATATCTGGAAAGCCGAAGATCACGCCATGTAAGTTTATTAGGTTATTTTTAGGTTGCGGGAGATGATCTTCGGCCTGCCAGATGTTTTGGACTTCATTTCCCAGGAGTTTAAACCACCGCGCCAATGAAAAGGATTGTGGGAGCTGTAGTCCAAAAGTCGAGGGGGGGAAAGGAATTCCCCACTTCGGTTTTAACCAACTCAGGAAGAGGCGAGAATTAAAACCCAATTACAGTCAAGAAAGCACAAGCCTCATACAATTAATAAATATATTAAGTGTGTAGCCCAGAAAATACAAAAACAATTCAGTTCAGAATCGTGGACGTTGTCACACACACGGTGTTTTTAATACAATTCCTTTCAATCGGGGCGAAACGAATAAGCGCCGGTTCCCTGCTTTCAGTCCTTCAGACGAGATTTCCCCACTTCTTCGATATCAACGGAAGAATCTAAAAACAAAACCAAGCGCCGCCTTTTCTTTTCTGCCTGGATGACAAAAGAGCTGGGGAAGCAGCGAATGTGGTCGGCAGAGGACTCGCCGTTTCCCGCGCAGAGAAGGCTGCCTCCCTCAACAAGGTCAGGCCAACGTTAGCCACTATTCTCGCCTTTTTCACGCGCCAGAGCTTACTGGTCTTTCCTGTTTTCGCGGTTTTTCTCTCCCCCTCCCCTTCTTCGGCGGGGCGCAATGAAACACTACCTTTCCCAGACGCCTTCGCCGGTGGCGCTTTTACGCCGGAGCCATGTTTCGCCCAGGCCTGTTATAGACAAGGTGGGAGGGGAGGACGGAGAGACCGGAGCGGGGGAAGCCGGGGCCGGTTGGAGTGGGCCGTTAGACCCGAAGGAGGGCCGGCAAGAGGCGGCGTGTGACCCGGGCGGGGCCGCGGGCCGGCCGGCCGGCCCCGTTGCCTTCTTCCCCCGGGACAGGTAATGGTGCTGAGGTGGCAAGACGAGGCTGGACTTTCGCTTGAGGGGCAGACGGGCAAGGCGAGCAGGAGGACCGCGTTGGCAGCGATGCCCGTGGGAGCTTTTGAGCGAGAGCTTCGCTGCATGTGTGAAAAGGGTGTGTTGTGGAAGGGGTCGTCACCGCCAGGTCCCGGGCTGGGGAGACATCCGGGAAAGGCGAACTCTGTCTGTGTGTGTGTGTGTGTGTGTGTGTGCGCGCGCGCGCGCGCGCATATCTGCTAGCCCTCGTATCTGATAGCCCCCCCTCTCGAGATATGTGTGTGTGCGTGTGTGTGTTAGAGAGAGAGAGAGATGCGTGCGCGCGCACACACACGTGCACGTACACAAACACATGCAGTTGATACGATAGACGCCTGTTGGCAGCATTGGGGGTAGTCCGAACCGGGGCCTGGAATTTTGGGGGGTGCTGGTGTGTGGTTTTTTTTGTCTGTTTTTGTTTGTTTGTTTGTTTGTTTCTTGGGATGTGAAAAAGGCAAGCCATAGTGGGTCAGGGCCAGAAGGGACCCACAATAATTTGCTCCCCAGCATTAGCAGTGTTGCTTTGACATCCGAACTAGAAAACACCACAAACCTGCTCATCCCTGCCTTTTGACATTTAAGATATGTACAGCACTGGTAAATTAAATAACCAGCGTTTTGGTGGCTTTTCATATCATGCTAGATTAGGTACCTTCCTTGCTTTGTTCATTAACAGGGCCAGGCTTAACGTAGTATACCTTTGATTAGGCAAGCCTCTTTTCTCCAAGCTGGTGGGTAAAATTGCTTTGATCCATTTTCTGAGCAAGTGCTTGTCTACATTGCGGTGCTAGTGCATTTTTTGAGCCTTTTTGAGCATATCTGTCAGGAGGGTTGGGACTGAAATCCCCAACCCAGTGTCTTCAAGATAATTTGAGCCACAATCCCCATAATTTTTGGCTTTGGTCATGTGCTGATGGCAGATGAAGTCAGCCTCTGGATGGCACTAGGTTGCTGGGCTGAAGATCACATTCTTCTGCCAGGTTTTTAATTGTTGTTGTCATCTTTCTTTCATTCTTTCTTTGTACACTGTCCATATGAGTGACCTAAGGCTTACAGCCAAGGTAGATTGGGACCTGTCACCAGTGACTTTACAGTCTATATGAAGAAAAAGTGGTAAGGGGTGGGTAGGTAAATGAGACACAGGTGAGGAGGGGAGGTGTGGGCGAATACTGTACTGTTATAGACACTCAGTTGAGAATAAGAGTTAAGAGGATGAAATAAAGACTTAATCTGAGATAATTCTGCCACTTTGGATCAGTGATCACTTAAGAAATGATGAACGTAATCTCTGATCTATTAAAATCTCCACTGCACCGGCTGGTCCATACTGGAAGTGTGGAATGCCACTCATGGTAGCAACAGTGTTGCTGTATATCAAAACTCGTCCTTGTTCCTTATTATAATGCCAGATAATTCTGGAATATTATAATTATGTGTTGTCAATGCAGATTAGATTTCCCACTTTATCTGTAGCATTTTTAAAAGGTGGTAAAAACCATGCTAGTGTCCTGTATATCCTATAGTGCTAAGTCCGGTCAATCCAGGTAGTAGGAACTGAAAGTTGAAATACCAGCATATTTCAGATTTTCTGAATTCTTTTTTCATCAGAAGCTATACATCTGATCATACGTACAGGCACAATTCTTGGTGTCTGCACCATCAAATAATGGCTCAGTTGTGTGAATGGAACACTGCAAATAGAACTTTCTTTCTGTTGCATGTATTGTGTTGCTAGTTAGAAAGATCAGAAAAAACAAGCAATATAGATATGGGTGGATGCTCTCCCTTTCCCCTTGTCTTTTCTCCATTGTTTTGATTTGCTTCATGTAGCATGTTCCTCTTTTGACATGGCTGCCAATTACAAAAGAGTCCTACCTGTCTTTTCATGCTGTCTAATGACAGATTTAATTCATTTCATCAATTTTTCATAAGGTAATGAGAGGTCATCATGTCACAGTAAATACTGTTGTTGCTAACTTTCAGGATATAATGTTTTATATACTAAGACTAAATTGCTGTAGGCTTAAACAAAATGTAATGAAGGAATGAATAGAATGCATGTGATACAGGTTTTCTCTGGTCTAGTCAGAATTGAGATTTGAAGGCTTCATGATTTCTGATGAGTTTTCCAATCAGAATTATTGTCTTCTGGAGCAGTTCCAGACATTTAGGTTCAAATGTCTAATAGGTAAAGGTTCTCCTTGACATTTAGTCCAGTCGTGTCTGACACTAGAGTATGGTGCTCATCCACGTTTCAAAGCCATAGAGGCAGCATTTGTCCAAAGACAGTTTCCATGGTCACGTGGCCAGCGCAACTAGACATGGAACACTGTTACCTTCCCACTGAGGTGGTACCTATTTATCTACTTGCATTTTTACATGCTTTCAAACTGCCAGGTTGGCAGGAGCTGGGACAAGCAACGGGAGCTCACTCCATTGCGTGGATTTGATCTTACGACTGCTGGTCTTTGACCTTGCAGCACAGAGGCTTTTGCGGTTTAACCCGCAGCGCCACCATGTCCCTCTAAATGTCTAATACCTTTATAATAGTTCAACTTTTACAGTATCTGTCATGTTGGCAATATGTGTGTTGCTTTATTTGGAGTAGAAATGTAGCTGGATCTCAGTTACTTGTTTTTTAATTCTGAAAGAAGAACTTACTGCTTCCCTTTAAAAGAACATCCATGCTAGTTTGGAATAGCTGTTATGTTTGCCACATCTCCAGTTTACCATGGCTTTCTGAATGAACCTTGAAAGTTTAATGAAGAAACTTTCTGTAGAGATAGTGTTTCCAAGCAGAATTTGATACACAGTACTTGCATCTTAATGTAATAAATGTTAACATGTCTGTTTCACCTTATATATACTGCAGTCATGCTTTATGGTACGTATATATGAAACACAGTATGAATGCACTGGGCACAAAATCTATGCACATGCAGCAGTTCATGCAGCATTTTAACACTGAAGTAATAGTTGTATTCCATGAAGTGCCCCTTTTGCTTTTAGATTCAGACACATTCATGTTATTCACACCATGAGGTGGAATTTATTAAGCTTACCTTTTATTCATTGTCACCCTATTTGAATCTATGTACATCAAAAGTATTTCAGAACACTGCATGGTTTCATTTCTGTTTATGCTTACACATTCTTATTTTCAAGACTAAGCCAATTACTGTAATTTCCTCCTGCTGTCCCCAGGGGGACGTGGTGGCGCTGCGGGCTAAACTGCAGAAGCCTGTGCTGTGCAGGGTCAGAAGACCAGCAGTTGTAAGATCGAAGCCACACGACGGAGTGAGTGCCCATCGCTTGTCCCAGCTCCCGCCAACCCAGCGGTTCGAAAGCATGCAAATGCGAGTAGATAAATACGGACCACTTCGGTGGGAAGGTAACAGTGTTCCATGTCTAAGTCGCACTGGCCATGTGACCACGGAAGATTGTGGACAAAACGCTGGCTCTATGGCTTGGAAACAGGGATGAGCACCGCCCCCTAGAGTTGAACACGACTGGACAAAAAAAATTATCAAGGGAAACCTTAACCTTTACCTTTTACCTTGTTGTCCACAAAGAGACTGCAGAGGGTGAATGCATGTTATAAAACTATTGTTTCTATTGCAAGTAATATTTTATTGTATCCGTATAATAATACTGCATGTATTTGAAGCAGTCAGCTGCAGCAAAGCAACAGAAACTGGTTTTGTAAAGTAATATTTCTCATTGCTAACTCTTGTGTCAAATTCAGTGGCCCAATTATACATATGTAATATTCCATTTCTTCGTGCTTTTTATAATTACTGATGAGTAACCAAAAGGCATCAGGAGGAACTGTGTGAGCCTTTGGGGTTCCACCAATTAAAGCCGGAAGAACTGAAATTGTACGTTAATGAAAACAAGACTCTTGAGGTTTTTTTATTCCATGCCAGGTATCACATCCTGCAGTCTGTTTAGGAGCATGTTAAATATGCACAGGTTTGCCATGAGTGTTTCCTACACTCAGCTCTTCCTTACTTATTTAATCTTTGCCACATGTTCAGAATGGATGACTTTTGACAATGAAACAGCTTTAGACATGTGTCATCTTTTGTCATAAACCCAACAGAAATGCTGAGTAGATGTTTCTTATTGTAAATCACAAAATTTAGGAATGGTGAAACTCTGTTACTTGAGATCGCTAGATTCTCTGCCAGAATAGGCTGTCTTTTTAAAATTAGTAAAGAGCCATGGATGTAATAAATGTTAAAGGGCAAAATATGGTGTTTTTTTTCATATTTGCCCTTTTACTACATGTAAACATATCCATGAAAATACAAAATTGCACAGAATATAATGAAAATGAATTGTGGAGTAAGCCTAGCACCGCCCCCTAGAGTTGAAATAAAATCCTCCACTTACCGTATATAAAATTATCTATTTTGAATCCCACTGATTCCAGCACGCTGGAAAAAGTTAAAAGAAAGAAAGTCCTCCTTTTCCACTCCTTGTTTGTTAAAATTCCTTTTCCTTCTTATCAAGAGCCAAATTATGTTACAGTTATCTTGTAAATTGATAGTTGACATTATTCACAGCCTGATAGTCTATTCTTTTACTAACAA